AAGTTTCCCCTTTGCCTAAGGAAACCAAGCTCACGGCATTACATAATTTTTTTTTTTAAAGAAATTCTCCCCACTTGAAGAAGTTACCTACGGCTTTTAAAAAAAACATTTAAGGAAATCATGCATAACTTGATTAATTACTCACGGCAATTAACCCTAAAGCATGATTAAATATTAACTAAGCATAATCTATATACTTAATTAATTAACTAACATGATACTTGATTACCAAAATTATTCCGAACGTAAACGGGACGTCAAAAATAATTTCGGGTAATCTCGAATGAAAATAATTAATTCGAATTTTAATAATTTCGAATTCTTGACTTGGACGATTAATCCGAATATTGATATTTCGAATAATTCGTCAACTTAACTTATTAATTCCAAACTCATTAATTAATAAACGAACCGAAATTAAATCTGGAAATTTATTCGGTTACTAAAATAATTAAACCGAATAATTTATCGACTAATAGTCGAACATAGGATATGACTGAATGATCAATCTGAACTTGAACATGAACATGATTATTTATTAATAAAGGCTAGCTTAAAACTGAAAGCTAGTATTTCCTTTATTAATAAAATACGGGGCGTTACAATTTCTACAAGCATTTCATCAAACAAATAGAGTGCACCCATTATCATCTTCAATTTCATCAAAACTAACAAAATTACATAAATTCACATTACACAATCAAAATCTTACTCCAAGAATATCAAAGGCTCAAAAAGATGGAAATTAAAAAAAATAAAAAATTGACAAAAACCAAAGAAATACGTACCGAAGTTGACGAGAGATAGCTCCATAGGGTCGGGCGCGAGATCGAGAAGCAGGAATACAAGGTAGAAAGAGAGAGAAAGTAGCGAGAGAAGGAGGAGCAAAAAGAGTTCGAAAGATAGCAGTTTCTCTGAGGTGCTCGGTCAAGTTTGAAGAAGAATAGAAGATAGATAGAAGGGGGTATAAGAGTAATTGTCTTTTTTATGTTATTTTTCATTAAATTTAGTTTTACATTTTCAGTCAAAGGTCATTTGGTCAATTTTGAGTTTGTGGAGGGTTATTTCAACCAAATTCCCTCCATACATTATGTTCATAATTTACCAAAAAAACAGCAAAACCGAGCTTCACTGAACTTCACTCTCTTCTCCCTCGCGACGCCGGCTTGCTCCCGCGACATCATCTCTCTCCCTCGCGACGTCTCTCTCTCGGCTACATCTCTCTGTCGGACTATATGGAGCTCTCTCTCATCAATTCCGGTACGGATTTTTTCTGTTTTTGTCAATTTAGATTTTATGTTTAAATAGTGAAATGCCACACTTCGTCCGTGACGGCCTGCCACTGGAATTCCGCGACAAATGCCACGCCCTTGACGACCTGCCACTAGTTCTGTCAGACGAAGTGTCGCGCCCGTGACGTACGTCGCGTCCGCGAAGCCCTGGCACTGGTTCTGTCCCCGTAAGTTTCGCGCCCGTGACACGCGTCGCGGCCGCGACTTGCTGCAATTGTTCTGTCCAAGTATTTTTTTAACGAATATAGTTGAATGATTCATTCATTTGAATGAATAAAGTAAATCGTTATAGTTGTATTCGATCAAAAAATAACCATAACGAAAATAACAATCGTGCGTGTGTTGTACTTCTTAATCTCTTAATAATGTGCATGCGATTGTTGTAACTTATGACTGATGTTGTACTTTTTAATTTATGGCATATGTTGTCTTTTTTTTATGCTTTTAGGAACCGAAATGGAGTATGCTTTTGACATACCTTCTAAATGCTCCGGAGTCGTGACCAATAGGTGCGACCTTAAGGTTGTGAATCACGTATTTGATGAGCTAGATGATGAACATAAACATCTTTTTTTTTGGAATCTTGCTTCCGCCCATTAGTTCACATTCCGGAGTTGAAGTTGTCGTCTCAAATAATCCACCACCTTCTTATGAGGACCTTGAAATCATCCGACAATGAAAATGATGCCGTGTGGTTCAAGTTCGGAGAAAACCAAGCTAGACTCGGGTTACAAGAGTTTTCTCTTGTAACCGGATTAACGATCGTGGATGATCCCGAGTACGAGGCCCCCGAAAGAAGTAGTTCGCTTTTGCATCTATTCAAAAAGAAGCGTGGGAAGATAATGAGGAAGGATTTGCTCGAGAAATTTGATGAATTGAAGAAGAAAGAAGATGCAAACTTGAAATACAAATTGGGGCTTATCACGGTCCTCGAGCACGTGATTTTGTCTGCAGAGTGTCGGACTTTCGTAGATGAAAAATGGTTCCATTTGGTTGAAGATTTGGAGCATTTCAATAGTTATCCTTGGGAAAACTTGTCGTATGGGTACACCGTGAAGTTGTATAAGCGGAACAGTTTCGGTAAAACAAAAAACCCAAAGTCGATAATGTATTCTCTTCACGGATTTCCCCTAGCTATCATGGTATTTTTCATATAAATATATGTTTATATTTTTTATTTATTTATGTTAGTTGTATTCTTAATTTTGTTTTGTTGTTTGCTAATCAGGTTTGGGCATTTGAGGCACTGCCTGAGTTAGGAAGACAATTTGCTGAACAATGTTCTACTGGCGGACTTCCGAGAATAATGTGTTGGAAAATGGACAAACATGTGCGAAGCGAGCAACTTATTACGTTTTTCAACACGTCGGAGGTAATTTTAGTTATGGATAATTCATCTTATTTATTCTTATAGTTTTGATAAAACTAATTATTCTACAATCAGGTTCAAGTTCGACGAACGTTACAACCTTCAAGTGATGAAGTTGAAACTTCATACTTGAAGGATTTCGGCATAACTTCACAGGATCAAGAAAGTGTGCCTGAAGATGAGGAAGAAGAAGAAGGAGAAAAAAATGACGCTGAGGATGAGGATGGTAAGGAAGAGGAGGAAGAAAAAAATGATACATCTCCATCCGATCCACCACAACCCCAAGTTTTGGATGCTGAAAATATTCGAACTATAGTCAGGGAAGTTGTGACGGAAGTTGTGAAGGACGAGATGAGAATATTTTCCGAGCGAATGGAGATGATGATGGAGAAGAAGATGGAGCGAATGGAGATGAAGATGGACATGAAGATGAACAATTTTTTTGACCGAATAGAAAAATTAGTTTTTCAAGCAAAAGCTGGTCCATCTACCCGTGCTACCTATGACGGGACAAATGTTGATGAAGAGGTTGATCCAGAGACCGGTCGAACAATAGATGGTGTTGAAGGTATTTTTTTAAAATAAATGCATCATATCCATGTTCTTACTCGATTATTAAAAAAAAGAAGAAGAAGTTATTGTAATAATTTTTTTACATTAAGATATATTTTAAAACAAATGCAACATGTTATTGAAGCACGTATTTTGTTTTTCTCTTTCGCAGACACAGTGAAATCACCATGTCCGATGCCCCAGCAAGAAATGGCTGGACTTAATGATGATGCGGGTATGTATAGTATAATTGTAAATAATACGTAATTTGATTGATGCTGCATTCTTGTAAATAAATGAGTATTGATTTTTTTTTTTTTTGCTTATTGT